CACACACACACAGGCACGCACACCACCCCCGCCCCCTTTTCTTAAAAACAAAATATCTTGTATAGTACTCATTTATCTGTAGGTGGTTTCTAATGTTTTTTCTTTCTTCTTTTAGATAATCATCCTGCATCAAGGGTCGCAAGAAATAAGTCATTTGTGAATACTAACGGTAATGATTTTGGACGAGCTTCCGGCTCTGCGAAAACCACCTCTTCGTACTTCCGGCGGAGTTCAAGTAGTAACAGTTCTGGTAGTTCTAAGTCTTACAGTAGTTTCGGTAGGAACCAACGTGACAGGGACTGGGAGAAGGATACATATAATTCTCGTGACAAAGAAAGATTAGTTTTGGGTGGGGACCGTCACCGCTATGAATCTTCGGAATTATTAGGAAACCCCTCATTAAGTAAATACGAGAGGGATGGGCTAAGGCGTTCCCACTCTATGATTTCTGGTAAGCATGGGGAGACTTGGCCAAAGAAAGTCGTAACTGAATCGAGCAGTGGCAGTGGAAAGAATAACGGGAATGGCTTTCTTGCCAAGGGAAGTCCTGTTGGAGTGGCGAATAAAGCTACTTTTGAGAGGGATTTCCCCTCTTTGGGAACAGATGATAGAGCAGTTGTTCCTGAAGTTGGAAGAGTTGCATCTCCTGGTTTGAGTAGTGCACTTCAGAGCTTACCTATTGGTAGCTCAGCTTCTATAGGTGGTGAAAGGTGGACATCGGCTTTGGCCGAGGTTCCTATGTTGGTTGTAAGTAATGGAACTGCTTCGTTGTCTGTGCAACAAGCTGCTCCATCGAGTACTACTGCATCTGTGGTTGTGAGCTCAACAACCAGTCTCAACATGGCAGAAGCTGTGGCACAGGGTCCTACTCGTGCTCAAACAGCCCCACAGGTAGTTCACCTTTTTTTTGTTTTATGGCGGATTTCGATTAGCAAATGTGCTAATGGGAAATGTTTGTGGTGTTATATAGTTATCTCTTGGAACTCAGAGACTTGAAGAATTGGCGATTAAACAATCTAGGCAATTAATTCCCGTGACGCCGACAATGCCGAAAACATTGGTCAGAGTGCTACTTTTTCCTGTTTTGATTGCAAGCATTTGGTTCTATATGTGTTTTATTTTCCATGGTTTGAAGATGTATCTGATGTTCAATGTAGTTAATGTATGCATTAGGAAATTTAACTAGCTTCCGTGTATTTTGAAAACTGATTTTCTTGTAGGTCATGTGGTTCATTAATATTGGTAATGGTCCATAAATTGGATTAGCTCTAGGCAAAAACTATCTTTACTAGACCTAGTAGTGGCACCACAACCACTAGTTGCCATCAGAATCTCACAATGAAGGGGAGTTTTTATGAACCATACTCTTTTTCTTAAGGTTTTATCCATCGGGTTATCATGGCAAGTTTTAAATGAGGAGATTTTAAAGCCTGCTTACATAGGGATAGTGTGCATTTTTTTTACTTAACTAAGATTCTTCCCCACATGATTTTTTCTTAGTAATGTTTAATTTTTGTGTATGGACGACAAAGGGGATATTATAAGCATGGATGTCTATAGTGACCAATGTGTAAATGAGTATACTATGTAAGTGGCCGTTATGTAACCACCTGGCAACCAATTTATTTGCAAAGCTTCGACATTTATCTATAAATAGAACTTATACAACGTAGGCTTGTGTGAAACATGGCTAGCAAATGAAGACACCTTACATTAAATAACGAAAATCTAATCGGGGATAAGAGTGTAGCATGAAGCAATTTGAAGGGATTCATTCGCTTAGATATGTTTCTTATTATTCTCTCTTGTTAATCTATCTCTCTGTTAGCCTAAAAGCGCTTCTCTAAAAACTTACCAAATACTCTGATACATCTTATATGCTATAAACATATATATAAGAACAGATGTGTACGCTTTCTTTAGATTGTGCCCAGTAGACACCATAAAGAATTGTAAATAAAATTTTGAATGTCTGCCTTTTTCTTTACCCAACGTGCTACATCTATTGTGTTTATAATATCGGATTGTATAAGCCGAACACATTTGCAGACAGATTACATTGTTAATATGTTATTAATTTTGAACTTTTCTTTTATAGGTGTTGAGTTCTTCAGATAAACAGAAAAGTAAAGTTGGCCTAATCCAGCAGCATCCCACACCATCTTCACTCCCCATCAATCAGTCTCCACGTGGCGCGCCCCCCTCAAAGCCCGATTTTTCAAAGGCATCTAACGTAGGAAAGCTCCATGTTCTTAAGCCTGTTCGAGAAAAGAATGGTGTCACCCCTTCTGTAAAGGATAAACTGAGTCCAACTGGCAGTGGCAAAGCTGTAAATTCTACACTTCCGGCTTCTCCATCTGCAGTAAAGCCCTTATTGACCACCGCGCTGGAGAAGCGGCCCACCACTCAAGCTCAAAGTCGAAATGATTTTTTCAAACGAATGAGAGAGAAATCTGTGTCAAACTCTTCATCTGCCTCGGAAACCGGAACTGCCATCTCACCAGAAAAGCATGCTAAGGTGGCGGTTGTGCCTGCTGCTATTACTGGAGCTGTGGAACCTTTGCCTGAGGAGAAAGCTGTCAGGACCACCTGCAATGGCGGTGTGCAGCATATTAGCAACGGAAAGAAATACAACTCTGAACCTATTATCTCCGAGGAGGAAGAGGCGAAGTTCCTACGCTCGATGGGGTGGGATGAAAATGATGACGAGGGCGGTCTTACCGAGGAAGAAATCAGTGCTTTCTACCGGGATTTTACTAAGGTACTTATTTCTTTTGGAGTTCTGCCTTGAATTTGATTGTGAAATGTCGATTGTACCCCTCTCGCTGAAATTATATATATGTGCGTGTGTGTGTGTTTTGTGCAGTACATCAATTCGAAACCGTCACTGAGAATACTCCAGGGTGTACGTTTAAAATTCTTGTTGCCGTTTGACTCGCAGATTGGGGGCATTTCACCCGGACTGAGTTCGTCCGATGCTAAGCTGGAGTCTTGATTTGCTGACCTTGCTGAGTTTGTTTTTTTTTTCGTTTTTTGATGGGAAATCTGATAATTGTTGGGAGAGCCTCGGTTTAAATTTTTTCGCTTGTTTACATTGGGAAGTGGAATAGGAAATAACTGATGATGTTTGCCCCCGTTGTCTCGGTCCTAGTCGTTTAAAAAGTGACCAAAGAGCATAGAAAATAGTTTTTTTTTCTTTTTTCTTAATCAAGCTGCTCGAAGATATTGCTTGTCTGCAAAGTCTGGGTCTTGACAGTTTTGGTTCTTCTTTTTTGGAGGATAAAAATCAAGAATTATTTACTATATGAGTCCTCTGCCTTTTTTATTTTTCTATTATGCCCCCTTGGGTGTTTTTATTTGCATAGATGCATTCTTCAAATTTTGAGCATATGTTACATGATAATAAAGTATCATTTTTCACATGTTTTTTTTCTAGGATTGGATGAGTGTATGTATGTATACATATACATCCAGGGTAATGTAAGGTGATAAATAAAGCTTGCATTTTTGAGTTATAGAAACAAAGGTAGTAGATTGAAGAGATGCGATAAATGTCGAACGTAATTTTGACCATTTTTTAGTTTGAATTAGGCAAAATTCAAAACACAAAATTTGTAGTTCTTTGAGTTAGATATCTAATCCAACTTGAATCACCAGGATTGAATATCGGATGAGAAAGTTACTCGTGAATCAATGAACTTCCTACAAATTTTATAGTTTGAGTTATCTAATATTCAAAACGAAACTCATTCATGCATAATTTTGTCATCCGATACCGAAATTAGCGGACTCAAATTGAATTAGAAAGCTAACACAAAGAGTTACAATTTCCGTATTTTGCCAAAATCGAACTAGAAAATAGTAAAAATTCCATCTTAAATCAAAAGGATATTCATTAAATGCAAACAACATTTATCATTTCAGTAAATTTAAACATAAAAAATGAGATTCGATCGAATAAACTCAGATTCGATTAGAGCCTTACTTGGGGGTTCCAAGAATCAAAACCAAAGGTACTGAATTAATTTCGACTCTATTTTATTGAGGATTTTTATTCACTTGAATTAATTTTTGGGTTGTAGTGTGGTTTACATATGATAATACAAATTTAAATAGTGCACCTATATAT